ATGAGGAGCGGCTACGGGAACTGGGGTTGTTTAGTCTGGAGAAGAGGAGGCTGAGGGGAGACCTTATTGCTCTCTACAGCTACCTGATTCAGGAGGGTGTAGAGGTAGGTGTTGGTCTCTCCTCCCACATAACAAGTGATAGGACAAGAGGGAATGGCCTTAAGTTGTGCCAGGGGAGGTTTAGGTTGGATATTAGGAAAAAATTCTTCACTGAAAGGGCTGTCAAGTATTGGAACAGGCTGCCCAGGGAAGTGCTGGAGGCACCATCCCAGGAGGTATTTAAGGGACATGTAGCTGTGGTACTTGGGGACAAGCTTTAGTGGTGAACTTGGCAATGCTAGGTTTGCAGTGGGACTAGATGATTGTAATGGTCTTTTCCAACCAAACTACTCTATGATTGCCCCAGCCCCGGTGCAGGACCTTGCACTTAGCCTTGTTGAACATCATGAGGTTTGCATGGGTCCACTTCACAAGTCTGTCAAGGTCTCTCTAGGACCCTCTGGGCCCTCTGTCTGCAGTATTGCTCTTCTACCTATTGTTGAGGTTTCATTTTCTGTTTAAAAATATCAGTCAGAATGTTCAGTCAGACTTGTCCTGTTTCCCTGAATTTTCTTGTGCTCTGGTACTTGTTTGTTCAGGAGGAAGATACGGGATTCACAAACTAGAACATTTTTTCCTGGAGGTTGTTGCTAGTAAACACATTTAGCCTTCTCTTAGTTTTGCACAGATTTTACAGTAAAATTTTGTCCAGAACTTACTGAGAGAGAATACCAAGACTGGCTGACTTCCATTCTGCTGTATTATAGCAAAGCAGAGACTTTTACTTAGTCCTGAAAACGTACTGCACCAGTTTATTTTTGTCCAGTATTCTTGAAGAATAAACCTGTTAGCCACAGGCTTAGTGGGTTGTTTGCCTTTTGAAGCCTAGAATATGAAAACCAGATTTATTGAGTTTCCTGCAGTTTTGTAAAAGTGCGTGGTTAAAGACACTTATAGATATTATGGATGGACTGGGATAGATTTAATAGCTGTATGTTTGAATTTTTTTTATTTTTAATTTTTTTCATAAGAGGCCCACAGTTGATTTTTGTGCATACTGTAAAACCCGTATGGGTGTACTGATGTAATGCTGACCACTTGTGTGTTTATTTATTAACATGGCCCTCCATCAATTCTGCAAGAACCACTGTTGGCAGGTGCTTAATGCTAGATCCATTTTAAGCAAAATGCTGTATGTTAAGATAACTTTTCCAATACTTTGATTTTAAAGTACATTGAAATTTGAATATAGGACATGGTGCAATCATATTTTGCTTATGGCACTTAAGTAAAAATACAAAAACTGATCACACTAAGAACATAACAGTTTCTTTATTGTTTCTACTACCTAATAATAGAAAAGAGCAAAAAAGAAATCTTATTTCAGTTATGAAAACTAATGGTCTTGTGAGTCTTTCCTCTATTTTTGCCAGCATGTAGCCTAAGATGAGAATTCTCAATCTTTGTGTTGCTGTATTAGAGGGCACTTGATAGTAGCAATCATTGTGATGATTAAAAAGTTAAAATTAGAAAGAGGATGAAACTGTGAAATGTAATGTTTAAAAATCTAAAACCCCCAAAACAATTAGAACAGTTGTAACTTGTTTGTAAAGTGCTTTTGTAGTATTTCCTTCAGGATCTGCATTTGTGAAGTTCTAATGTCAGAAAGTCATGACTCTTGTGTTGATCTTACAGGCAAATTAAAGGAACTTAATGGCAGTGCCACTGAAGAACATAAACTCACAGAAGATGACTTGATAATCCTAGAAAAGTTACTGTCTGCAGTATGCAACACTTCTGCAGAAACACCCACGGCACAGCAACTTCAGACTTTGTGGAGAGCAGTTCACTGGCCTGAAGGTACACACTTGCTTTTTGTACTATTATCTCATCAATGCTTCACCATGAACTAAAAGTCTTGTTCAGCTGGCTGTAGTTGGCAATTGTTTGTCAGGTGGTGGTGTTGGCACAATAGTAAACAGAAAGGAGAAACTTGATATAAACATCAGTCATGGTTATCTCATCAGCAGAAGCATCCTCAATAAAGAGGCTTGTTTGGAAATAGAGCAAAGAAGCATGACGTTGTAATCCTAAATTGTTCTCAAATGAGAGATTAAATTATGGAGACAGATTATTAAAAAAAATCTTAAAAGTAGCTCCTGTTTAATATGGTGGAAGTTACTGAAGCTAGAACATGTGGTCCAAACTGCATTAGTGAAGTGACATTCCAAATGAATGCAGTGAGGGTGAGATAACTTCATTTGATAATGTATTGTTGTCAGCAGTGATGGATTGGAAAGGCTACTTTGACAGTTACTGCACATTCTGGGAAAAAAAGGATGCATTGCATATATAGATACCTAAATATGCAGTTAAAATTAACAGCTAATGTCCTCGTACCTTTCAGACTCTTTGTATTGCACAAAGCGTTAATTCTCAAGATTCTGGCTATCTGCTGGGAATATCTGCAGGCTCAATAAGCAGCCAAGCAGGTTCAGCTTTGGTTTGGTTATAAGCGTGGGATACCGATAGTAGACCCAAGGAGTCAGGTCTGTTTGAAATCTGGGAAAGTCAGGGGCAACTACCCAACAAACTGTGAAGTTCCGTTTCCTTACAACGATTTCCAGCTGATCAGCTGAGAACTTTTTTTCTTTGCAAATTATGTCTGAGAGTTTAAGGTAGTCTAAAAATCTGTTTCTCATTTTTATTTCTGTATGCAGTTTTGTAGCTGTGCTAAACTGTCTGATGCAGGATGAAGACAAAGGGAGATGCTGCCTGTGTAGGGGTAGCTTCACTGAGAAGCTTTCAGAAACCTTTTTGGATTAGTTGTTATACTTTGTGCTTGCCTTCAGCGTTATGAACTAGAGCTTTCAGGAAAGATTTTAAGATTTTTTGGAGAGCACTGTGTTAATCCTAAATTAAGGAGCATGTTTTTTGTGATTAATTGAAGCATTACTAGAATGGGTTTGTCAATACTTGCCTTTATAGATTTCAAACAACTTGTGCTTCACCTGACTCTCTTCTTGCATGAAACTGTTACTGTCTGTTCCCAAAGCTAGGGGTTTAAGAATGTCTGTATCCGAAAGAAACTCACCAGTACACTTGTACATAAAGCAATATTAACACTAAAATATTTTTTCGTTTTGTTTCTTAGATATTGTCTTTCCAGCCCTAGACATTCTTAGATTGTCTGTCAGGCATCCCACTGTGAATGAGAACTTCTGCAGTGAAAAGGATCACGTACAGTTTATCACCCTTCTCCTTAAATTTCTGAACCCTGAAGGAAAGCAAGCAAACCAGCTGTTGGCACTTAGAGCTCTGTGCAATTGTTTTGTCAGTCGGGCAGGCCAGAAGCTCATGATGGAACAGAGAGATGATATAATGACGCAAGCAATAGAAGTGAAATCGGGCAATAATAAGAACATCCACATCGCACTTGCCACACTGACGTTGAACTATGCTGTGTGTTTACATAAAGTCAACAACATTGAGGGCAAAGCTCAGTGTTTATCAGTAATCAGCACAGTTATGGAAGTTGTTCAAGATCTTGAAGCCATTTTTAGACTGCTTGTGGCCCTCGGGACACTAATCAGTGATGATACAAATGCTGTGCAATTAGCTAAGTCTCTTGGAGTTGACTCTCAAATAAAAAAGTATGCCTCTGTATCAGAACCAGCTAAAGTAAAGGAATGCTCTAGGTTTGTTCTTAATCTGCTATAATTGTTTTTCTTAGCATTAGGAGACAGTGTATGCAGAAAAAAAAGGAAGCTTTTGTTCATATTTTGTGACAGACTATAACTGAGAAAATACTGTGGATTAATTAAACTTGATTTGTTGCAAGATACAGAGCAAATAAAACTTTTTACACTGTTTGTCATTTGACTGCTTTTCTGCTTTTCTGCACTGCAGTGCACAGGATCTTTGCAGGAAGATATAGCTTCTGATGCAGTTCAGATCAAAATAGATCACCAAGAAGTCAAACCATCTCAGTACTTACAGGTCATCTAGGTAGAAAGGTACAAAATGGCTGTGATTCAGTGACTGCCAACTCTTGACACCCACCTCAACCATATTTCTATGTTTTAGCACAGTGAGTCTTTCTTGACCATGCTTTTTGTCAGCAGAGAAGGGGCCCCAAGAACTGTAAAGTTCAATGGTGCTTTTCACAAGCTTTTTAGTTAATATTAACCCTGGTCAAATGTGCTGGTGAGGAAACGCCATTTCCTTAGTTTTCCATCAGCTTTTTTCCACTACCTTTTTGAAACCTAGCTGGTGTATGGCTCTTACTGTTTTTTTTAAGCTACAACTAGGTGACTTTGAGGGGTAGAATCTTTAACTGCCCTATAGATGTCATGCTTCATTGATATGTATCTCATAGCTTGTAAATGGCTTGAACCCCCCTGCCAAAGCAGGTTCCCTACGGCAGGTTGCACCAGACTGCATCCAGGCAGGTTTTGAACATCTCCAGAGAAGGAGACTCCACAACCTCTCTGGGCAGCCTGTTCCAGTGCTCCATCACCCTCACAGTAAAGAAGTTTTTCCTCGTTTAAGTGGAACCTCCTGTCTTCCAGCTTGTAGCCATTGCCCCTTGTCCTATTGCTGGCCACTACTGAGGAGAGTCTTAACATTAATAAGGTCCCCTCTCAGTCTTCTCTTCTGCAGGCTAAACAGGCCCAGCTCTCAGTCTTTCCTTGAAAGAAAGATGCTCCAGCCCCTTAGTCATCTTCGCATATTATACGATTTAAAAAAATGTCATGTTGAAGAGTGGGAGAGAAATTTAGGTGCAGAGAATGGACTGAGCAGCAGAAACTGTCTTCCTAGAGAGGTGGTCAATGACCACTGCCTGTCAGTGTTCAAGAGGCATTTCGACAATGCCGGTAATAATGTGCTTTAACTTTTTATGAGCTCTGGAGTGGTCAGGCTGTTGACAAGATCATCATTGTATGTCCCTTCCAACTGAAGTACTCTATTCTAAACTGTACAAATGTAAAGTCAAGTCTTATGAAGCAGCTTTGACATAGTAACTGTGGCGACTGTGGAAAGGGAATATAATATTTTACAGCTATTCCAGCAGATGCAGGATGTTCAGCTCAAAAGGGGCATGTTGTTTCCTAAAACTCCTGCAAATGTTATCCTTTGTTTAGAGTTAAGATGAAGTCAGGATCGTGAATGTTTAAATTACATTTTTCATTAGACTAAGAGAATGGAAAACATGGAAAAAAAGGGGCAAGCTTTTCTGCACATGGGCGCTTCATCACATGGAACCTCTGCCTCACCTGTGCTAGATGTGAAGGATTTGTGACCAAGAGCTCTAACTGTTTTTGTTCAATCTAACTGAATTGTCTGAATAACGACATTACTTGCAGCAAACCTTGTTTCTCAGATCCTTAGTTGCGCACTTTACTGTTACACTGCTGATGAATTTCTAGATACACAACCTGACAGTCTTGATCATGGCCTTGGTCACAGGTTTTCTCATTTGATCCATTTTAGGTTAATGTATAAGGCAATCCAGTAGATGATTCAAGATTTGCAGTGTTTAACGATAGATCAGCCCCTTCCTGAGAAAACATCTAAGAAGCTACTTTTAGAGAACATGTCTGTGAAATAATGTGCCTGTCTGTTGAATTTTGGTTGCCTACTATACAATTGTTCTTGAAACTTCAGCTTTTTAATGTTGTATTCCTTAACTGTGTTTGTACATGTGCTATTTTAAGAAATTTATACTTAACCTGACCTTCTGGTTTTGGTATTGTGGGATTGCTCTGTTACAGATTACCTCTTTACATGAAAATTGTCATGAATTTCCCAGACCAAAAATTAATGTTTATATTAATAAACATACTCTGGCAACTCCAAAAAATGGTATATTAAGAGATTACGAAATTCACTTAAATTTGCAGGGAAGTGATGGGGCACAGCAGAAAATCCTTCATCTGGGGACTGCAGCACTACAAGTTAGGCAAGGTATAGAAGGCAGTCTAGGATTCAGCATTGTGTGAAGGAACAGAGGGAGTGGGGGACATTGGATTCCATCCTGACAGGAATTGTCCTTGGGGGGTCTGTCTCCACAGAGACACACAATGGCAGCATAGGCAATGGAGGTGACGTGGAAAGGAGATAATGACAAAAATCCAGAAGTTACAACACACAGCAAGACCTTACAGTATGTTGTAAGATGTTACAACAAGGTTTGTTGTTGTTTTGTTTGGGGGTTTTTTTTGGTAATTGGCTTTCTTATGCCTTAGTGCATTTGTGCAGTAGCTTTCAGTGAGGATTTTCCCAAGCTACCAAAACTGGGGTGGGTATGTGCTAAGGCAAGTTGAGTGCAGAAAGGGGAGAAACTCGCATCTTTTACAAAGTGTTTTTTTCCTGTCCTGCTATGTATAACAACCAAATACCCTATTTCTGTCACTAGTATCTCGAAAATAAATAATTGCTCGTTGTTTTAAATTACACTGTTCTAAAACACTGTGGTACACGTAAGCATGCATGTACATAAACAGACATATGTAAGTGGACTACAAGATCTGCTTCTGAGATCACCAACAACTAGAAAACCTTAAGGATGTAATCAGGATAAATTTTCAGTGAAAGGATGTTAAATGTATGTCTAGGAAATGTGTCAGACAGGACGTCTACAGTGTACAATCTTTTGAGACCAGAAGACATTGAAAACAAGTATGTGCCTCGCACAGAACTTGAAGCTGGCTTCCTATCTGTGGCAATAAACCTCAAATCAGTTGATCTGCGTGAGATATTTCTCACGCAGTTGAGAAACCTCAAATCAGTTGATCTGCGTTTGAGATATTTCAAGACCCCCTTCAAAAGACTAAGTGCTCCTGATTTGATTCATCAGGGGAATAGTAAAAGTATGTTTGAGATATTTCAAGACCCCCTTCAAAAGAAATTGTGTCATCTGCTAAGAATTCAAAGCTTCTCGGTAGATATAATTCTTCTGCTGGAATCTTTTTCTAAGCTAGAATGGAAACTCCTAGAAAGAACCGCAAAGAGCATGTAGTAGCATTCACATCAAACCTCAGGCCTGCCTTGGGTTTTATGAGTGGAAGTACTTGGGATCTGCTTAGACCAGAACTCAGCATACAATATTAAATGCCTTACTAGGGCACTGAATGAGGAGTTAAACCTGCCTTAGGTCAGCAACAACTGCTGTACTTGCCAAGACAAACGGACACTACAGTCACATAACCTGGCATACACAAATCACGCCATTTCTGTATTGAAATATATAGGACATTCTTCTCTATAATGTAAAATGCTGAAGTAATCTACTGTAGAAGAGTAGTACCACAGATCAGTACGAAAGAGGTACCTGTAAATGCTTTAGGAAAGATTATAGCCTGCTGGTTCCAATTGCCTGAAGTTTTTTGTCTAAAAATAATTAGTTAAGCTGTCTTGGCTGAATTTGATCTATTATTATACAATGGTCACTTACCTTTTTTTCCTCCCTCTCTTTTCCTCCCTCCCTGTCTTCCTAGACAACCAAAGTCTAGGAACAGTAAATGTTGCCCACCTTTTCAAAATGTGTACTGAGTAGACTGTGAAATTAAATGTTCAGCAACAAGATGCCTGCCATATGTGACCGTTGAAAGCCTACAGGATATCTGGACATTTTCAGATTTCCTGTTCTTCCAATGGATTTTTGATTCATTGAGCTTTCTATTTTGGTGGGAATTTTTTTTTCTAGACTTTTCAATTGCAAAGATTAGGACCAAGTCACTGTTGATCTGTATCAGACATATGAAAAAAAGAAGTGTTAGGTATGAACTACCCCTTTTTTGACAGTAAATTTTGAAGCCTAACTGTGACCACATAAATGCCAATAGTAAGAAATTTTTTTAGCAACACACCCAGTTAGCTTCTGTACTCTGTGTGAAGAGAAGCTGCATTCATTGAAAACACAGTCCACACAAATAAAGGTGCAGGTTTTACATAAAAATAGCAGCTCAGGCAGCTACTAGGTATTTGATTATTCCCAGTTAATCTTAAACATTTGTTCCATTTGCATGCCTAAGCATACAGTGCTTACCATTTTATTTTCCATATAGGTGCTCAAGGGATCCCATTTTCATCTCAAACTCACACACCACTCATCAATATTTCCTATGTTACCTCTGCCATTTTCAGAGTACGCTAAGGCTGCCATTTTGTGATGATAAATACGAAGATCTATTATCCTCCCCTTTCCAGGTAATCTTAACAACACAGACTAATCAGGATCAACTTTGACCCTGTGCAAATTATCCGACTCCACAGGGACCAACACTTACTGAAAAAAGAACAGATTATACTTAATAAATTCTTCTGACTCTTTTGAAAACAGAATGTCAACCCCTGTGTTACCTGTGTTGGTTTATTACTTTTTATCATCTGGCCACAGTGCTTTCGATCACCACTAGCTTTGCACAACTTGCACTCAGTGGACCTTTACTTAAATGGGGCAGTACCACCAATGCTGTTTGAAGATCCAGCACAATGTGGAATATATCAAACTGGAAGACAACGTGTTTGAATCTGGGGGAAAAAACCCCCCAAAAAATAGACCCGGAAGAAAGATAAATGGACACTCTGGTGCATTAAATAAAGAAGAAAACTGTTGCATGTCTCTGCACAGGAAAGGAGGTTCTTAATAACAATTCTTGCACTGTAATGATGGACATTTATCTACCCAGGTCTTTATTTTCGGATAACTATCTTCTTTAACTGGCATTTCCCTCTATAGCTGTGGGAATATAACAGAAGATTGGCAAGGAGGACTGTAAACATGCTCAGGTGGGGTGTCAAAAACCACATACATCACACTACTAATTATGGTTTAGTCTTATGTGCTTGACAAGTAGAACAT